TATATATGAAACTGGGTAAGACAAAGAGGAAATTCTAGTGCACGTACGGATCAGTGCAATTACATCCTGGTTGGTGGTTTGGAACAGTTTTCATTTTTCCATATATATATATATTGGGAATTTCATCATCCCAACCGACTTTCATATTTTTCAGAGGGGTAGGTATACCACTAACCAGCATCACATGACATCCGGAAATTCAAACCAAATGGCCGCTTCCGATTTGGGGCTCCATATGTCCTCTACGTATTTCAAGGCTCATCCCATTTGATAACCCTGGTGATTGTAGGTCCCCGATGCTTGGGTTGTCCCACATATAAAATGGGTCAATAACTATGGTGATCCTAACCAGTTCCATTCCATATTCCACCACGTCATATCGTGCAATATCATGTCACATCATGTCATATCCATAATATCCCCTAGTGTTGGTTACTTGACTACCATCATCAGATCGCCATTTATAATAGTTTTTTTTATATATTATATATACATATTATATATATAATATAGTTTATTATATAATTCCTCATCTGTATATATATCATGTTCATAGATCATGTTCCCATGAAACATCCCATTAAGGGATGATCTTCAGGACATTCTGACCTGTCCCCTTCGCCGTCATGACCAACCAGAACGCTTCGATGTACCGTGGCAGATCAGATCTGGTGTCAGCAGCGATCAGGGTGACCCACGGAGATTTCCCCCTGTGTATAGCTGGGTGACTGGAACATGGTTAGGAAAACCATAGGTTAATGATGGTTTGTAAAGGTTAATTATGGTTAATAATGACTGGTTGGTGGTGACTGGAACATGGCTGGATTATGACTTGGCATATATATATATATATATATTGGGAATTTCATCATCCCAACTGACGAACTCCATCATTTTTCAGAGGGGTAGGTATACCACCAACCAGAATAAGTTGAATAAGTTGTTGTTTTTGTTTCAAGAAATATTGTGAAATTCTTGGTGAAGATGCAATATGGACATGGCCCCGTCAGCAAATGGATTACCTTTCAGGCCTTTGTTTGTTCCTTCTGATTCATACCGGAATCCACTGTGGATAAACGCATGCATATCACGACGTATTACAAAGTTCATAAACTTGTTGAGGTTCTCGCTGCTACCCTCTTGTAAGTTTACACTTAGCCATGGAAAATCACCAGTTGTCATGGCATTTTTTTCATCAGTCATAAATTCCATAGCACACTGTCACATTGCCAGAGGGCAGTCCCATTGCTATTGCACCAATTCCAAGAAGTCCCATTGCTATCCCATTCATATCACTCCCAACAAGAGTCCCATTAATATATTTAATATCTATATATATATATATATTTATATTCATTGGATTTCATTGGTAATGTTCAATGAATAGTGAATACTGTATCAATATCCCAATTAGCATCCCATTTCGATAGTCCCATTGCCGCTAAATTGACATCGTTACGGACCAACCGGAAGAAGTTTAGGATTTCCAGGCTCTATTAGACACCTTGTGTCACTATGAATAGCACCCAGTATTAATGGATGCGATAAAGGATGATAAAGGTATATAGAATTTAGATTGCTTAATGAATTTATAGACCGTTATTAGTAACCATTGTACCTTTCATCAACCATATCTTAGGTTATTGAACTATATATCAAACGAACATGTGTATATAACTGTATATACATAATTTGTAGAGCAATCTATTCATAATGACAATTTAGGACAATGCATGAACTATAGATTATATGGGATATGTACATTGTATACTTCTCAAAACTCAAACATGTGTGTATATGTACATACGCACATTATACATGCATATAGTATAGTTACATATAGTATATATATGTATATATATATATATATACATTTATATGTACCTATATTTTTAATATAATAAAATAACAATCCGCAATATATAATTACATATATATAATATTTATTATAGGTAAATGAAGACACTAATACAGTGTATATATAAATATATTCCAATACCACGGATTATCCCTTCGAATATCCCTGTCCCAGGTGGTTCTGTGCCTATCCGTCACCAAGTGGATCCATTTCGCTCATGGCGACACGGGACTGCACAACCTCTTCAAACGTTGCTTCAAGCGCACCAGGCTCTGGGGATCCTGGGGGATCCTGGGGGATCCTGGGGGATCCTGGGGATAACATCCCCCATACTGTTGGAATGGCTTAATTTTTTACTCAGCACTTACCCACTTAGATACTTTTAGTGTATATGATTTCAGGCTAAGATTTTTTCTTTCCTTGCCTTTGCAGTCTTTTTTTAAAGCACGTTGTTAAATAATCCCCGGTGCATTTGGAAGTTTTACTGTAAATTTGTCGTGCAACTCCGGAACAATGTGGCAGATCGTGAAAGTCTTTTCAGAAACAGTGTGTTGAAAAGCCAGACGGAGACCAAAAACACATCAATATTCATCATGTGGTGCATGTTGATTGATTGATTTTTGTATGGCCAAAACAAAAAGATATCAATGAAGAGAAGAGCCAGCCAAGATAATCCCTTCCCCTAAACATAGCCTCCTGTATCCTCCTGTAAACGTTTCCTATGTGGAGAAAAAACACCCAGTATGACAGGCCTGGAGGATACTTCGTCTTGGAGCCACAGGAATGGGGCAGCTACAAGAAGTCCCATGGCACCGGAGAGTTGGGCGTTGTGGTGGTGGCGGGGATCAAAAGGGATGATGTCTGGAACGAAAGGATACAACCTGGTCCATGTTTAAAAATTACTGCTGAAATGTTCCTTTAAGATCCGAAAAACCTCGAGTATTTGTTGTCTTGTACTGATCCACAGTTGAAGTTAAGAAGTCGTGAAATCCGGCGCTAGTTCTGCTATGTTCTGCTGGGTGCATTGAGTCATTCATCCCGGAGAAGTGATCCTGCCAGTCTAAGATGTTTATCATTGTCTATCTATGAAAGTCAATAAACATTTATAAACGCCAAATGCCCCCCCCCCAGTGGTACAACTTCATCTTGACTATAAGTTTCATGGATGTTTTAAGGTCGTTGAGAGGTGCCATGGCACCACATTCTCTGGCGTCAGGAAGAGGCATTTGACGCGAGAGATCCGCCAGAGCGTGGCCAATATTCAAATCCGCCCGGAGGCGACGCCTTGGAAGATGAGTTTCCACTGAAAAACTGGACGGCCTCTGAATTGGGTCAAACATGTTCAAATGGTAAACCATGGTAAACCTGGTAAACTGTGAATTAGGGAGGCTACTTCTCCCACTTTTCCACTGAGTGATGAAAACATCAGCGACTTGGGGTGGTAAAATGATCACCACCCCTTTAAGGCATTTTAAGGCTACTTTTCAGGGGGGGACCATACCAAAATGATCCAAAATGTAAGATACATTTTTTGGGACACCCCCTTAAATGTAAAATTGGTCGCTGAACGTCCCCCAGGTGCCGTTCTTGTGGGGAGGGTCTTCAAAATACATTCAAAATGTAAGCTTACATTTCAAGGCCCCCCTCAAAAACACATTGAAAAGTGTAGCTTACATTTTGGGTACGTCCCCCCCTTAACACGGTGGTGATGTAAAATGATTCTTCAATACGAAAACTATAGGTAAATATGTCTGTTGGTTTGCTCCATCGTTTCCCTATGGTGCAGCAGTTCTAGGAGTTCATGTGAAGATCGGAAGATGCCGGCCCCGCGGAACCAGGATTTTGAAGACTACCTTCAAAACGCCATCGGTTTCGAAAAGGTGGATGTGATTGAACCGCCAGGTGTGGACCTGTCCTGCTTTCCTGGCACTGCGTGACATCGCCGTATTTTGTATTGGTACTTTCAACAGTGGGTCTGAAAATGGTGTATACACAGAACAAAGCCATCTAATGGAGAAAACTACGATAAACCAATGGGTTTCGGGGTACTCTATTTTCTTTCAGACAAACCCAAATGCTTAAAGGCATATTTCAATTTCCAATAGGCCATCCGCATACTGGAAGATGTTTGCTGGAATAGTTTTCTCCTGGAACACTTTTTCCCGGAGAGTACTGGATGATACCAGGGGAGGCACCCTAATAGGAACATGTTCTAGTGATGGTTTGAGATACGTGGACATCATCGTTGAAGATGTACGATAATTCCTCACCACCCCATATCCCAACAGGAAATGTGAGTGCATGCAAGTCTTTGGAAGTGCCGCTTTGGAAGATTTCTTAACTCTGAAGTGTGGTGGGTCGAGACATCACTTTGTGAATCTTTATGATAAGATGTTAGTAGTTATATGGAAAGTTATGTGAAGATCCGCATCCTTAATTTCTAGTCAACAATCTATGTACATACACTATGACAATTCCTTGTCCTATTTGCTGCCCAGCAGAATGACTAGTTGAAAGCTCCCAGCCTCATGCCTTTTGGATACGGGGTGATATTTGGGGTTTCAATATTGATCATGGATTTTGCTGCTTGCCTTGTTGGGACTTCCATGTTTTTGTTTCCCGGTCTAAATCTGGAATGCAAATTTGGAATTTATTGTTTGAAAGCTTGGAAAGCAAACATCTAGAAACATATTCCAACATGTCAGGTACATCATGGAGTAATTCTGAGACCAGGTGGAACTGTTGTTTTTTTTTCCCATGGGTACCGTGACAAGGGGTAGCCAAGGGGGGCCCATGTCTCAAGTCTTAAAATTATTCACTATGGACTATGGACTATGGGCGTGTGGATTTTTAAGATTTTGTGGGATGGGTGGAGGCCATGAACGAAATTAGTAAACAATACCTCCCCGGCATCTTGTGCCTTGGGTAACTTTAAATCCTTGACCCCCTCAAGCTGGTCCTTGACATTATAAATAAAAAGAGTTGATCAGAAATGACTATATAGAACCATGTTGGTCTTTATTTTTGGAACCATGACCAGTCTGACCAACCTTTTAATAATTGAATCATCTAGAAGCGCCTTGTCTAACCATGACCAACCACGACCAACCGAATTTCCGGGTCGGCAGGTGATTTGCCGCCCAACTTCCAGCGCCGCCTCCGAATCTTCCGCCGGCCACTGGAGGTCGATGCGGCGATAGATGGTGGATGCGAAATGTGGCGGTTGATAGATGGTAAAGATCCCATTGTTTATAGGCTTTCAACCATCCAAAATTGGTGGTGCAGGATTTTGCTGGCCCATCCAAAATATATGAGTTTAGCATGGAAGGTTTGATTTGTTTTAGTTGGATAGTTGGGTTATTGAACAGTTTTAGGTGCCCAGCAATTGGCATAAGAGAAGACATTGAATCTATAATTAATGGCATCCCGGAACGGTTGGTTTCAGGATAGTCTCCAAAGTGGTCTTTCAGTTGGAATATGGCAATGTGTTTCATTGTTCCTTAGCCTATTCCTTAGCCATAGGATCCATGTATGGTATATATTATGCTAACATTTGGGGTATATTGATGGTAAATGTTACCATATATAGCATACATGGATCCTATGGGTTAGCTATGTTTCTTCCAAAGCCATTGTTTTGCCATGTGTATTTCATTTGAGGTCTGCAAGACCGGAGGTCCCATTTGCTTCAACAATCACCTAGCAGCGACCTAGCAGCCTAGCACATCCCTATAGTCACACAACATTGCCATTGTCGAAATCTCCAGCAGTTGCAGGAGGAGGAGGAAGTTCAACAGCCTGAGGCGAAACCCCGCAAGCGCAAGCGCGCAGCATGATGCGGCAGGGGTTCACCGGTTCACCATTTGTGCAGAGACAAAAAAAATGGTACGCTCAATGCAGGACCTGCAACCGCAACATGTTGGAATAGGTGGATGTTTGGTGATGAATGCGAGCATGTGCTGCTTATCACTGTGATCCCGGTAAGAATGTTCCCTCGAAGTATGACTTGAACATACTTGAAGCATCTTGAAAGCTATCCCTGACATCTGTAGAATTTGGGGGCGGGGATACAGAGAGACGGAGATTTCGAACCTGAGGTGTGACGCTATGGTGGTGGGCTAAGTCCAGCTGAGGGGAAGGGGCGCATCCAAAGAAATACATTTCTTGACGGAATATGATAATATGATGATCAACCATGAAATTTGGGGTGCCCAATATTCAGACAATATGACAAACCTATTTACTGTGTACATGCTTATTTATCTTATGTGTGTGTGCGCTATTGTGTACTTCTTGATTTCACTGATCATGAGATAGCAGTTGTATGCAGCTGTATACGGTTGCAATGTAGGTCATTCGCACATGTCGACATATTGATTTTATTATAAATTATATATATAATATATTATAATATTAGGGGCTTTGTGGCTTTGTATTATTTGTGACCACCACGTGTTTGTATGTTTGCATTTGGCATGACCAATAAACAAATAATGATGACCAGCTCCGCATAGACATGGCCATGCACAGCGTATATAGATGGAAAGGAAATTGAACATACCTTGGACATACAACCGGATAGTTGGACTCGGATTGGATTTGACCTAGCTAACTACTTGGTGGTTCATACCAGTGGGTCACAACTGGACTAATCCGACGTCACATCCCCGAAAAAAAAACAAAAATGGATTGCATTTTTGCATTCCAAAGATTGAAGAGTGAAAAATCCTTGGGTTTACCACATTCTTCAAGAAACACGGACGTTTTGCACCCAACTGATCCATTTGATCACACATTACCATATGGTAGTCGTCAAAGCGATGCTTTTTGTAACACAGAATTGGCCCAGAATGGATTAGAATCTCAAAACAATTGCAACTTCCACGCAGTTTGGCATCTTTTGGCATCATTTTGCTATGTCATTGGAATCCTCCCAAAAAACAACATGATTAATCATGATTATAACACTCTGATGTTCAAGTTTCACGAGTTTGTTACCCAAGTTTCACACGGAGTGCCTTATTATGACCCCTGTGTTTTGGGCCTCCAACGGAATCGAGATGGCATCGGCGTTTGGCTCCAGGACTGGACCTTCCTAAAGGGAAGGCCCAGTTGATGTGTATGACTGGGGGAATAGCCATCAAATGACAATTGTGAAAGGGAAACTGAGGTTTTAAAGACCCTTGGATTTTAAGGGAGCCTCATTTTCAGACAAACCCAAATAGTCAGTGATTCACTTTCTTGGTGTTGTTTGTCGTATTTGCATCCACATGTTTGTCCACACGCAGTTTGGGAGGCTGGAAGCACTCATTTGAAACTTGATCATTCTATCTTCCCAAGCATAGCCAAAATAGCACGTGTCGATCGCAAGAGAGGATCACAATTGTTTGGATTCCATTCAAGGGAGTGCCGACAGTTCAAACATCCATATATTATTATGATTTACTCTATGCACGCCAGAAACTCACATAAAACAACTTGGCATGAAGCTCTTTCCTCAACAAATGCATCATATGTTGGCTTAGAATCCATATAATTATATATATATAAATTGTGTGTGTTATTGCGGGCAAGACATTTCAGGGTGACCGTTATGGGCCTTTATTATGGGTACCAAACTCTCCATGATTTTTCCCCGGTAGAGAGATGTTGTTGGCTCCTTGGCATGATCGGGCCTGCCGGGAGGGATTTGGAGGTCGGTAGATCAATGATACTAATTCATATCAATCACCCACCCAGAAAGATGGATGGCGCCCAAAAACAGAAACAAATGGAGAAATGGACAAAAGGCTTGGTGTCACCTTGGGTGAAGCTTCGGGTACTGTCAGGCAGCGGTGCAGCCTGTGATGAAGGGATTCTCGGCATCCGGGAAGTTGTGGCCACATGGTTTGGGGACTGACTGGGTCGTCATGTTTCATCCATAATCCAGAGATAAGCATACGCCATATAGACAAAATCCCATTAGTGTATATATAGCCTCGTCCCCGCTTCTGGAACCGCGCAAACCTGAATTAGGTTGGTAAACTTGTCCATCCTCCGTGAACGGAAATTTCGTGCGGAATTAACAAGTTTTCATTAGGTCTTATCATCATCATCATTATCATCATCATCATCTCTTCATCATCATACTCACATCATCATGATAAAAATGATGTATGATAATAATGACCCTAATGAAACTTGTTAACTCGCACGAAATTGTCGTCACTGAATGGACAGTTTTACCACCTCATTCAGGTTGCGCGTTCATGAAACTTACCTTCGTCTGCGCAAGGATCCACATGCAAACGTTCCTCCCACCCCACCCCCACCCCCCCAACCCCTGTGGTTCCGAAGCGGGGACGAGCCTATATATACTGTATATAGTGTGTGTATAAATAAATAGATAAATAAATATATATATATATATATCCAAGCCTTCCTGCCACATTGCCTTTTTTTTTGCCCTGAGATTCATGCCGATCCGAATAGATACATCGGATGTCTGGTTTTTCAAAAGCACTGCGCCAAGGATGCCCTTAGGGCAGTGGTCAGGGCACATTTGGGCGGGCAAAGATCTCGACCCTTTGGCGCCTTTGGAGTCTCGCAGCCCCACACCCCAGGCGGTGCGGATGAAGGGTGCCCATGGCCCATGGCCCATGGTTGAGAACATCATATTAATTCATATTACATAAATATACAAAAAATGCCCATAATACTACTTTATAATACTACTACTGTATATAACAACGGTTCTACCACCTCAAATCGCCATAAACAGCAAACAACTTGGAATTCAATTGTGGTATTCCCAATTTTCGGACAGACCCACTGAGGTTCTTGCTATATTTACCGCTCAGCGACTAAATCATTGGCGAGCATGGGCTGTTAGGGTTCAAAGATTATCCATGGTGCATGGCTACGTGGCTCATCAAGGTGTGTAGCTTGTAAAGTCGTGGTTCGGTACACATGTTGTTTTTTTTCCATTTTCAGGGGCTAAAAGTGCGGTCTCCTCTCCCGCAGCGGCAGATTCCATGGCGTGCTTGCACACCATCAACGCCACTGTCAAGACTGGCAACTCAGCCGCATGGATGGTGATGTATACAATGTATACGTGATTTTCGACCAAAATGTGGGATTCACCCAATGTCATTAACCATCCCCAAGTCATCATCATTTGTATGGGTGGGATTGGAACCATCAGTCGTGGTAGCTGGCCCAGGACACACGTAGCCCTGCCATCCCTTCGCGGAATGGTTTTCAGTCACGGTGTTCCACCAGTGACTCGTCGCGTTGTTTAAGGCCTCAACAAATGGAGTATTTTTCTTGGGCAAGGCATCCCCAGATGCTCCATGTATGGTATATGTAGACCATATATTTACCTACAGCTGGTTGATGCTGGGTGTTTTTGGGAGTAAATGTTGATAACTAGTCCATACATTGAGCATATTGGATTTTTTTAATGACCTTCAAATAAGCACGGTTGGGGATTGACTCTGCTAGCGTGCCCTTGGTAGGTAACGTGTAAACACTCTACAAGGAGTTGTTCAGCAGCAAGAAGATTTGTTTGGAATTAGCATCGCTGATCCACAAGTCACTACCCTTTGGCAACTTAATATAGATATGAAAAATTAACTGAAATCACAATGTTTCATAGATATACCGATAAACCATGATAAACCATCTAGTCTATTACTATAAATGTGCCTATTTCAAAGTTATGCCAAATTTCCCCATGGTAAGTATCGACACGCATCTACAAGTTACATGAATATGTTTTTCCTCAGCTGAAAGCCTTATAGACACGTTGCTTCGGAAGATGACGATCCCCATCATGATTCCCAAGCCTGTCCTCCGGTCCGTGACATATCCAAGATGTGACCTTTTTTCAGGTGATATGTTAAATTCAGCAAGAATTTCATTCGATATATTGGGGATATTAGATGTTCTTTTATTATCATTATCTGAGTGGAAGAATTCCTGCACCGCACCATTTGGTCGATGGTTTGCATATCCCGTTATAACCCCATTCTTTCCAGTGTGTCATAGGAATCTGCGAAAGACATGACAGGTTGCCTCATAGGTTGTGTTTCATGTTTGTGACGTTGCTGCACGACCGCAGCGCTTGAGCCTGGGCAGTAAAACGGGCCCACGTGTTTTCCTGGTGACTTAGGGAGTCACACCTCATTTGACGCCATATTGGTTGGCGACCCAATATCCATACTACTTCCTTGACATCAACAACAACATCTCTTTTGGAGATAGGCCTGGTTGGTGGTGGTTGGAATAGGTGAACCTCCCTGCTCCCGCATTGGTAGCGGAGCAGGTGAGGGGATCCAGGGGCGACACAACGGCTGAGAGGAGAACTTTCAGCATCAGCAACACCTACCCGAGCTCTGCGAGATCTTCAAGGACACCTGCGGTTGGTTCTACACCTACTTCAGGGACAAGGCCAACATCTGGGGGATCGGTTCGATCCAGAGGAGGTGAACGAGCACCTGCTGTTGCTCGACGGGCTTTCAGGGAACGCTCCAGGTCTAGGTCTCCTGCAAGAGATCTGAGACAGGCTTTCAGCCCTCCAGGTTTTCCTTCGGTGTTGATCGATTTGAGACCTGAGAGGCCCTGCCCGACCTTCTTCGAGCCAGAGCCTGAGCCCGAGGTTCGAGAGGACTTGGACGCTCGGCGAAGCTTCAACGAAAAGCTCCAGGCGGTAATCACCCTTGCTCCTCAAGTTGGTCATTGCTTCTTGGAGATTGGCTACCTGTACGGCCGACAAGAGCTCAGACGAAGAGAGATTCAGTTGCTTGGTGCTGAAGGCCGACCTTTGGGTGAGTTGCTTGAATTGGAACAGCCACCAACATCGGCTGGTTCGAGGCCCCGCTGAGCCCAAGCCTTGTTT